TACTTTGTGTCGTGTCGAGCGTACGCCAGTAAGTGAGTAGGATATATGTATCAATCAAGCGTGATCAGTTCCTTTTCCAGACGCTGGCATACGTTGGCGTACGCTAGATCTATCTCTATATTTTTCTAATCGCTCGAAAAAGTAACTACTGCACCCTGACATTCGCTGGATAGATACCGTACCCTCCTGGACGCTGACGCAAAGTATTAGCTTGGAAAGAAGTGTGCGACTTTTTGAACAAATTACTCTAAGGTAAAATCTGAGAAGATTTTGGTTTTTTCTATTTTTTCCCGAATATTTTTTCTAAAGTGATTCAATTTTTCTGATTTCCAAGGTTTTTACCCTTGGTTAGTATGAGTTTTCATTGTGGTTTTCGCAGACGGGTATATTACGTCTTTGTGGAAACTTTCAGTGTTTAAAAGACCTGGGTCACGGCACTTTTCGACATATCCTATACAATGAGTTCCTGTACGCCACCCTTGTGAGGGAGATAACACCTGAGTTGTCTGCGAAAGGGATGTCGCTTACCATGCCACAGTATCTTGTTGGTATCAGCGCTTGCAAGGTGGTGTTGTTCTATTCCCGTGTAGGCCGGCCATCAGATCGGATTGACGGCCGTTTATTCACACCCCCCCCCCTGGAGGCGCAGCTGAACGATAACATCAGCAGGTAGGCGATCCTAAGCTGCATCTAGATGACCACTATAATATTTCTCTGCAATCTCGGTCATCGGGGAAATTTCCTGTGAATTCCTGCCACATGTGTGACACCAGTCTGACAAAACCACATTGAATGATCGTGACTGAGTTTTCTCTTCTTTCTACATATTGGAAGGACTTTTTGGGAGCCTTTGTGATTCGTAACAAGGGGCTCTAGCGTAAATCATGTACCTAACCTTGCCAAAATCAGATCTGTATAAAAAAAGATTTCGCTGTGGTATTGATGGGATTTCAAAGCGATGTCGCTGGTTACTGGCACTGCTGTGACGGCCAAAGTATACCCTAACTGCCTTCGAACATGAATGACGTCACGCTTGATTTCATTCGGAAACACTCAATTTCCTTCCACTCCTCGGCTGCAGAGACCGCATGTGGCGATGAGGCTACGCCAAAGATTATGGATATGGATCAGGGAACGGTGAGCCGTACTCGGCTTATGCGTCGTTAGAAGCTTTTTACTACCGCCTACTTTGATCCTTACTGCACCATTTAGAGAGCAAACATGTTGCAAATAAACGTCAGCTCGAAATGAGGTCCACCTCATCCAGAGATGCTGTACAAAAGGTGAACACTTGCCCTAGTTATTAATGGTGAATTCGTAAGGTCAAATATTCTGGAAAGGTCGCAGAAATTTCTTTTCAACCTGGTATGAACGCAGCCTTAGGGTTCACTCCACGTATTCATCTTTCATTCAGATCTGATTGCTTTTCAAAAGCGTACTGGACTTACTGTATCACTCAGCGAAACAGAAAAAAAGAGCGGGAGGCTGCTACGGAATTAAAGACAGCCAGCATTTGGTGATGCCATAATATCGGGGAGAGAACTTACAGGCAAGATGTCGACAGCCGCGGGACCAAATTCGTTCGATCACACATTTATTTCATTGCATTACTTTCTAACAATTAGAGCAGTGATCTCTTATTACTTAACATGAAGGGCTTTTCGCTCATTTAACTGCTTGTGCATGATTCTGCTGCTGACACGCAAGCAGCAGGTTCAAGACCCTATCTCGATATGGAAGCTGTGAAAAGCAACGAGACAAAACAGTTGGCATATGCAACTATTGCTTGAGCTTTCGCACAAAAAAAACGAAAATGACGCACTGATCACCTCATTCTTTGGGAAAAAAAAAAGTCAGTCACCTCTTTTCTTGTTGACATCGCTCATTGCATGCGATAGCTGTTCTTGAGACTTATCAACATATGGTTCAAAGTCACCATTGAAAAATAACGTACGATCAAACTGACACGGTGAGCGTAACCACGATGGAATGAAGAAGTCCTACAAAGAGAGGAATTTATGAAAAACGAGATAAAAAAACTGCATCACACACGTACTTGTAAGACTTGATCTAGAACTTGGATCGGCTGCGAAGGCGTCCTATCAATAATGACAACACCGGGGTATCTTTCGCCTATCACTTTCATGATGTGTTCGTAGTGCGGCGTTATCTGTAGAGTATTGAGATTATACAAGTAACTGCAACTACAAAGTTGTGAATATAGCAGTAGTTTATGTATATCAAAAATTGGCAGAATAGTCATCCAACCAATAAACGGTTTCACCACATTACTCTACGGAAGCTTTCAGACTTTGCAAGTAGCAGCGCGTCGACGCGCTGTAACGAGCTACGTCACAAGTTGAGTTTGCTCCAAATCAAGATACGCGAACGCAGCCGCATATGGTCAGTCTTTAGCGACATCATTCTGCGTGACTGGGCAACACCTACCATCCTATTCCTCCAAATTCCCTTGAAAGACATCCGGCTCGCGCCCATCGACCGAGCTTTCGCAGACAGGGAATGGGTCGGCACAGGCCGTCTGCGGCTCCGTTCGCGTCTTATAGCTCTGCAGAACTGTTGTAGTTGTAGCGCCTCGTCGCGCGTTACAGCGCACCATCGTGACGTCTGAACGCTTACTATTGCGTCGTTACGAAAGCCGTGCAAAAGCAAGGATGAAAACGCATCGGAGCGTGTAGCTCAATTCATGGTCAGAGTCATGCTCAACAGTTCTCGCGACCTGAGCAGTTTAGTCGCGCGGCTGCAACTGGTCGCTAATCATTGAATCTCAACAATTTACTCTCTGCCAACACTACAGTTTTTCAGACTTTGCAGCAATCATAATCGCGCGACTGAATCGCTCGAGTCGTGAAGTATGAATGCGGCTTAAGCAAAGCTCTCATTCACGCTATAATTTCAAAGCCTAGAATATGTGCTATGTATGACATACCTCTTTCAGACGGTACCTGAGCCGGTTAAGTTTGTACTTTGTAGGGTTTTCATCTTTTCTCAACGAACGAAATATTTCATCTTTTCTCAACGAACGAAATATTGCCTGAAGGTGGAAGAAATAAAAATCTCATATTGAAAATGGAAGATCCTTGGAATGCCTCGTTATATGCGGACTATGTTCATGGAAACAATGCAATAATACGAGGGAAGTGAATGTTTGGGGGAAAAACGATTTTTGCTCGCGAATGATACGATTTCCCATGCTGAACAAGTAAAAAAAGATGATGGTACAGTTAACACTGGCATGTCTGTCAACAATTCTTACCTATCATTGACTGAATATTTGCTGCGCATGTCAAACTTTGGGGTCATACAGCTTCGGGGAACGATACATTCTTCGTATGATCGTGTTCCTACTTTGCGACAGTGGAAACACTTCGGCGACGGGGGACATTTTGCACTTCGCTGCTTCACTAGTTCCCGTTTACAAGTCCCACTCTGGTGAAACCTGTGAACTCTTGTGAAGCTGAAGCAAGCTCGTCCAGCCACCATGGTGGGAGCTGTCATCTCTTGTGAGCTCATGAAATAGCTCTTTAGATGACGATGGGAAGTAGCAAAAGTGCAAATCCCTCCCCCCCCCCATCCGTCGAGGAACTGCTTCCGCAAAGGTGTTAGGATAGAGGAATAGAAGAACTCTTATTCTCCCATTGCACCTTTTCGCTACATACACATTCCTTCGCGCGGTGGCGCTATTCTCCACTGTCATGCTGTTGGAGCGTCACCAGAGAAGTCGGCTCGTAGTGCGCTATCGTAAAGGTTAATAATGAAAACTGGATTCTCAGCCTGTATTCATTTAGTTTTGTGGGGACATCGCCAATGATCAACGAGAGAAGATTGAAGCCTCTAAATGAGCTTGCAGCATTTCTATTTCAAGGAAACGCCTCAAAATGGTCAACAAGGATCCGATAATGCTGTGAAATAAGCAGAAGTTGTAGAGAGATGAAAGTGTAGCGCAAAAACTATGAAACTTCCTCTGACACGGGGTGCATGCTCCTGCTACGCAGCTTCAACAAAAAACTTGCCATAAGTAGCATAAATCGGAATTTCTTATTTAACATTGAAACTTTTATCCCTCCCTGGATCCTTTGCTAGTAAATAAGGTGATGGACTGCAGGACTTGTAAAAAATCATCAACTATCATCTGTTTGCATCTACCACCTTCGTATAGCAATATGATTAAACAGATAAATACCGGCCGCGAAAGACGATATGGAGCTGATACATGATGCATCGAATCAAAGTCCATATTGCCATTAGGAGGCATCTTATATTCGTCCACGAAGAAGTCACCGGCTGAAACACTAGTTCATAGCCCCACGGTGCCACACAAGATTCTCGCATCTGATAAAAAGAGTTATACTCGAAGTTTCCTAGCGTAAGAAAGCCTGACTAAGGATTCAGAATCCCTCGATCCGTAGCTATCTATCTTCTGCGTTCATACTTGCGGCAGCGACCAATAGAGTCCAGCAGCGTCAACGACTAGGAAAGTGTAGGTTTCGATCTTGTGTCTGCCAGCGTTCTGCAGCGTCTACCCGCGCGACAGCGTCTATTAGCGTTTGGGAGAGTATGGCGCGATAGGAGGGTAGCAGACAGCTGGTAGAGTATGGGGATGAGAGGCTGGCAGACTGCTGGTACAGGCAACGGCGCGATAGGAGGATACTGTTGTTTACTACCCTCCTATCGCGCCATATTCTCCTCCCGGTCGCTGGTGTACGCTGGCAGACGCTAGATGGATACCTATACTTCCCTAGCCCTCGAGACGCTGGCAGACACTAAATCGATATCTATACTTTCCTGGTCGCTGACGCTGCCGGACGCTCGGAACGGTGGCGAACGCTATTGGTCGCTGGTGGACGTTGGTGCAAAGTATGCATCCATCCATAACAATTCGACATGCACAGTTCCCAACAACATGAGAGACCCACTTTGCAACTGCATGCCGAGCGTAGTAGCAGAACGCGTTCCTGAAGCGCTGACGCAGAGTAGGACTGAGTTCCTACTCTGCGTCAGCGCAAGCGCACGGCAGTGTTTCGAGCGAATTAGCACCCTATCGCTAGAAGAAAGAACTTAAGCGGACCTAGCAGCAACCACTGGTTCATTAATCGCCCGCTGGGTAGATAATGGAGATAGAAAGGTTGGAAAGTACCACAAAACGTGATCTAATCAGGCAGCAGAAGTTGTCAGCAATCCATAAAGCCTGCATCTCGCGATAGGGTGGCGGGAAAGTTCTGTCACACTTTTTCGAACTCAAAATACTTGCCCATTACCAAGAGGGTAACCGGTAATGTAAGCACTTATACATCAAGGAGTGGTCTTTCTATTAGTACCACTCGCTTGACTCCTGCTTCTTCTTCTGCAATATGGACAAGGATTTTATCCGCTACCATCGGCACCGACCCCTCCAGACGCTTCCTCAAACTCTTTCTTCCACCACCCTGACGCCAGCATGATAGCTGCAGATGCCAAAATAATGGAGCTGAATAAGGACGATGCCCTCAATTACCACGACAGTAATGCTTCAAGGCGGGAGCCTAGGGAGCCTACAGTTTTGATGACGAAGTGAGGTTTGGGTTACCTGCAAACTCAGCTTGAGGGAGCTGTGGGTCGGGAAACTGCTGGATGAAGAAGCTGCTTCCTCGGTCAATGCGTACGCAAAGCAGCTACGAGATCTAAAGCGTACCGTCGATCAGAGGGAAAAATTTGTCCGCACAGCCCGCCCTCATCATGATAGTGCAGCGCACTCCGTCCAAAAAGTTCGAGCCGTACCTCATGCAATAGAGCTGGATGGCTCTCCCCTTGCACTGGTGTAGCACAGACATTGCTCCTTCTAACTGTTGCTACTTAACGTTATATGGGCGAGAAAACCTCCATAACCCGAGTTCAAGTCAAGATTGAGATGATGTCCAACTTTGCGTCGCGCTCCCTGCATTGTGAAGCGATGGCATCCATGAGGTGCTCAAAAACTGGCAAGGACCCCGCAGTAACATTGCTGTACAATTTTGATCTTACACGCCTCTCTATAAAAAGAAAGCCTAATTTGAAAAATGTGACAGAACTTTCCTCGCCAACCTAATACAACAGCCAGTATTACGGCGATTGTAGTGTCTAATCGTGCATCATCTTCACTGAGAAATACTCACCTAAACATTGAAGTCGGGCTGAACCGTAAAAACAATATCGATCCCCACGAAAAAACAACATCACAACCATTCCTGAACTCGAGCACACGAAGGTGTGCGAGCAAATCCTTAACAAGTAAACCTTTGTTGTATGTTTTTAGGCCCAGAAATTCTAGTTAAAAATTACCAGACCCTTTTTTATCTGAAGGGGGAGCACTAACGGTCCTCTGTCTCTTCGGCATTTGCGGCTGCAAAGAATTACACCATAGAAATGAGGCATATTCGCTGGTGAAGTAGAAGTATCGGTAATTGGTTCATTGTGAAGAGTTCACCTCAGTCTCACAGAAAACATTTGAAATAACGTTTATTTACACAGAAGTTAGAGCATGACGCAAAATTACAGAAAAGGAGATCGAGCCTAAAATCACTGTTATTATTACAACTGCGACTACACTACCACAGTCGGAGCCAAAGAGACGACAAAAAAAACATAGGAATCGACTGCAGCTAAAGCCATGCTGTATGAGCACCACTGGTCGACGCCAGGACACCCATCGAGATAAGATGCACAAACCCCCATGAAAAGTCTCGGTGCAATCCCTCCCATTCAGCGCGATTGTTAGAAATTCAGTGCAGCGATACTGAGGTCGGTCTCGCCTCTGCGCCCGCACATAATTATTCTCACAATGTTCGAAACTTCGCAAAAAACAACCTATTGAAACATTCCAAGAAAGAAATGAATGAGCTGTACAAATATACCAACCGGATTGAAGAACTCGAAACATCGATAACAACGCTTGAAAAACAGTTAGGAAACACTGTCACAAAAAATCACATAATGACTAGCAGAAATCAAACCTACTGAATGCTTAAAGGCAGCGCTCATGATCGCCATTCTTATTTTCCAGTGCGCATCAGTAGATCACGGGGCGAAGGGGAGGAAAAGTAAAGAAAATTCGTGAAGAAAAAGAGAAAACAAAAATGTGAAATGCCCTCAATAAGAACACTCTCCATTCAGAGCAATACATGGACATTCGGCACTGAGATAACTGAGAATAAAAGGATACAGGGCTTCTGTCATCACAACACTCTAGCTGCGAGAGTCCTGTAGCCTTTTCCTCTCATTCTCTCAGCGGCATACGCTTGATGATGCTCAAAACGAACAGGGTTCTTCCTTACCAGGAAAGTCCGCCAACTTACCATGGACTTGAATGGAGACCTGGGTAGATCGATAGTCTATAAGGTTATTTACAAATATAAATGCAAAACTGCAACCTGTATTTCACAAGCAACCACACACCATTACAAACTTTACCTGCTCATAAGTTGCTTGTGAAATGCAGGTTGCAGTTTTGCTATCTATATTTGTAAATAACCTTATAGACTCTATCGATCTACCCAGGTCTCCATTCAAAGTTCCATGGACTTTCCTGATTAGACGCAGTGGGCTCCTGCGGGAGGCGAGTGGATACTCGCGGACACTGCCCTTAATCGACGAGAGAGGGCAGATTTGAAAGTGATTCGAGGATCTGTGGAAACGGAGGTCGAAGATGTCGATCTTTGTCTGCACACTTCAGCCCCAGAAACATAACTCCATCACACCACGCCACAACAGCAGCTAGAATCAGCTCATTTTCATCACAATGAGAAAGGTACAGAAACTGAGTGCGAATTAACGAACCTTGGTTATGAACACATGGAGTGCGTTTATCCATGAGCGCTTTTGATCCAAGCAAGAGACGAACGTCCTGATCCACATTTTTGCGCATCTCTACTGCTAATGCAGTAATCGGCAAGATTTGGAGGAACACGTGAATCCATAAAAGCTCTCATTCCTATGGTGAAGCAAAAAAAATAAGTTGAAAATCAAAGAACAAGATCTTAAGAAATACCTGTGCATATCTCTAAAAGAACAATGCCAAAACTGTACACATCAAGCTTGGTGGAAAGTATTTTATTCGTAATGAATTCAGGTGGAAGATAAGCGAGCGTTCCTTTCACATG